TAGACAAATCTCAAAAGAAAGCTCCTGAACGAAAATGTCAATGTTAAAGCATAAAGTGTAGTTTTAGCTATATAATATTCATGATGTAAAGTAGTCACAGAAATGTAGTACAGATTAGAGGCTGCAAGGTGTTAAGTATGTGGTGGTGGTTTAAATGTGGTCACAAAGTGGTAGAGAAAAATAGTCTGTTCCTTTTTATTGCTGGATACTATTCCATGGTAGAAATGGTTTGTCTAATCTTTCCTTCTTTGAAGGAAATTTTGTTTGTTTGCCTTCTGGACTATCAAAAATAAATCTACTCTTTATGCCCAAGTTTCTGAATGTAAATAAGATTTCATTTCTTTGGAACAATTGTCCAGGAGTAACAGTGCTATGTCATAGCAAAAGTCTATTTTTAGCTTTAAAAGAAACAGCCAAACTATTTTCCAGAGTGGTCGTATCATTTTATCTTGCAACAATACATGTGCACAGCTTTTGTAAATTCTCACCTATATTTGTTTCTCTTTCTTTTCCAGCCATTTTATTAGATATGCAGTGTTATCTCATTGTGATTTTAATTTACATATTTGCATTACTGTAATACCTAATGATTTTGCAAATATTTTCATCTCCTTATTTATCATCTGTCTATCCTCTTCAGCAAAATATTTGTGCATGTCTTGGGACCATTTTCTAATTAGATTATTAAATGTTTTTGATGTTATGCTTTGAGAATTCTTTATGTACTTTAGATATAAGTCCACTTTAAATATATGATTTGCAAACGTATTCCTGCAATATAAAATTTGTTCTTTCATCCAGTATCCAGTCTGGGCCACAAGGAAATACAAACAAATTTTAGGGGACATACTGTGGTGTTCTCCTACAGTCTTGGGTGCCTAGCAACTGTCCTTTTTACTTTCTGTCCCTTACAGTTACGTTATGATACTCTTTGGAATTGTTTCCAGCACATTTTGTTATAGTTAGAGAAGAACAAAGAATAACAAGTTCACTATCTTATTAAAAATTATGATCTCATGCTCTTGCTTTTGGGAAAGTATCTATGTCTAAATAGTGCAATGTTCAATCTTGATATTTTATACTTATAAGATGATATTATGAAACACATCTTTGTTAGGACCTTAACCTTTGACATTTTATTTTGAAGGCCTAAGCAGGCTTCCTTCATGCAACTCTGTTTGCATATGGACCACATTACACCTTTTAACACTCATTTCCCATTCTGAGGAACTTCCTAAGAGTTTTCCAAAATGCTGCATTATTCTAGAGAACAAGAAATACATTTCTGTGCTTGTAATAAAGGATATTAACCATGAATTTTGATTTTTGCAATTTATTTTGTCTTAACACTGATAGAAGCATAAGAAAAAAGATCCAAGCCTTTGTAGCTTGATACTTCCATAAAGTCTACAACTGATGTTCTTTGATATGTAGGGATATATATATTTATATAAACCCATGGCTAGAAATTTCAAAGTAAATGACTTAAAGATTGGTGCACTTGTCTTTTCATTAAGGAACTGCACACTTGAGTAACTTCCTTCTCCATTTGCACTGTTCAGCATTGTTGCACCACAAAACCATCTCAAGGTACAGGGACTTTATCATGGCTTGAGTCTGTGGCTCAGCCGAGAAATGCTCATTTTATTTCTGCATGCTTCAGTGGTTGGTTCTGGTGCTTTGAGCATCTTAACTGGACTCTCAAATGTCCAGGGCCACAGCCAAGTCATCTGGTGAGCTTCCTTCATCTAGCAGATGATCTCAGGCTTTTTATGTGACCACTTGGCAGGTTCTGAGAGACACTGCAAATGGCAAGTCTCCTTGAACCCCCGGTGTAGGGTTGGCGCTCACTGTTGCTGTGTACTCTGACCAAGACCAGTGCACTGTTAAGTCATACGAAGCTATTGTTCTTGAGATGAGCCGTAAAGTCCCATTGTAATGAGTCTGGATTCAGGCAAGGTGTAATGAACATGTCTTCCCTTATGCTCTCTTTAGTGGTTGTGAAAGATGTAGTTTCTCCATATCTGTATATGATACTGAGCTGACTCTAGATAGTCAGTTCGTTGTTACCCCACAAATCTCGTACAAGACACACTCTGAAATGTAAGGAATTCAATCAAATATCGTTAGACGATGTGTTTTTCTATAAAATTATTTTCATTTTCTTAGAGAAAAACTCTTTAAATACCATGAGTAGCATTCCCATTTTAACCATGGAGTATGGAGTGCCTTCTCATACAAAGCTTTCTCCTTGATTATAAATTCCTTTTTTTCAGTTGTCAAACTTCATTCCATATATAAGATATCAAACTCAGCTATGCCTAAATACAAAATTTTAATACTTCTGTTTGCTATCATTTAAATGTTGCCTATGTTCATTACATTTAAGATATTAGTTGTGTTTTAAGTCAAATATGAAGATTGTCTTGTAGCTCTCAGCATATTTGAACTGAAATACTTCTATCTTTTTCTCTCATTTAAGTACAATTTAACATTCTGGACAACATATATAGAAAATACATCAATACCTTGAAAGGTGACAGAGAGCTGACCAGAAGGTTAGGAAGGACATGCAACCCAAGGATTTACATTTTTGCTCATCTGTCATGATTAGATAAAATTCTGCAATTTGTTCTTTATTCTACTTTTGTTAAGTAATAAATTAGTCAATCGACATTTGCTCTTTAGTCTATTAGCTATGGCAAACTTCCCTTTGCATGATCTGTTCATTTTGGTTTATAGATTTCACTGGGTATCTTAGTTTCTTTCACAGTGTTACACTGAAGCTTTTGCAGAACTCCCAACAATTGCTTTAACTTGAAAATAAATAGGTATTTGTGGAATTGTTGCTAGTGAACACCCCAAAAAGAGACACAAGCTAAGACATCTTGCCCTCAAGACTCCTTTTTGACTTTAGGTTGCATATTTGGAACTGTGCATATCTCAGGCTGTGAGGAAGGCCACTTTGACAGTCATAACTAGCATGAATCCATTTCATTTCTTCTGTACTGAAAGAAATCCAGAGTGACCTGCTCAGTGAGGACTGTCTGTTGCTGCCAGGAGTATTCCTACTTTTACTCCTCAGAGTTGGCCCAATGGAACACAGGCACATGGATACACTAGGGATTTTTATTTTAAATCTGAGAGGTTTGATATGTATTTACCATTTCTAAAATAAACTCTATAAGCCCAATAGAATACATGAATAGAAAAAATAAAATAATGAAGGAAATGGGGTTAGGTTAAAATATGACATCATGTACATATGACTCAGGAAAGACTATAGAAAAAAATTGTGTCTGAAAACGCAATAATGATAATCATGGTGTAACTAATATGCCAAAGTTCTTCTGACACAGGAAGCAATCCTGAGCTTTTAAGGTATATATTAAAATAAATTTTGAATCCCGGACATGATACAGGAGTGCATATGGGAATGTGCTAAAATGCAGAGATATAGGACTTAGGCATGGGGCTTATCATTTCTATTGATTAATAATTGATTAATGATTGCTGCAATCTCAGTGGCCTAAACAGTATTCTTGTGCTATCACACAGATTCCTGTGTCAGAGCAGGCACAGCTGGTGTCCTTGTTCACAGCTGCACCAGACTGCATGCTCATGTAGAGCATGAAATTTTTTTTCAACCTTCTTTAAGTTGTTGGCAGAATCCAGCTTTTTGCATTCGTGGGACTGAGGTTCTACTCTACTGGCTGCCCGTCAAGGGTTGTTCTGAGTTCTCCGAGCCAGCTTTGAGAAGATTTAGGTGTGTGATCCTCTCCCCACGCACCTGCCTACTTCTTCTAGGCCAGCAGCAGCATTGGTTCCGTCTAATTCTCTCACCCTTTGAAAATGTTCCCACTGGATCAAGTCTGGACACCCATGAAGATCTTCAAATTGTTATCTCAAAATTCGTTAAACTATTTGGGGTAGTACACTTACAAAATCCCTTCAACTTTGTCATCTTATGAAACTCATATCTATGGTATAAGTTCTGTCCATAGACAAGATTATATAGAAATGGAAATGTTTCATAAGTTTTTTTTAATTTTAAGATAATTTTTAAAAACAATAAAAAATGGTAGAGTGGGAATCTTTAGAGACATAACAGGATTATTCTTACTATACCTTAGAAACTTTCATTCTACTGAAGGGTTCCCAACTTGCTTATGGTTCAGATTTCTCTGGGGAACTCTTAAATATATATAAATGTGTAGGTCTTTGCATGAATCTGATCACATTCAAAATACAAATGTATCTGCTGAGTCTAATGTGTGTTTTCCGTAAGTTATATAAGCAACTCCTACACAGCCAGCCCCACTAACCTGGAAATGCTGCTAATCACTACTCTTCTAAATATAGATATCAAACCTAGCTATCATTTTATTAAAGTGTTAGAGTCTTTTCAACACTGCAATTAAATTCATGAATGGTATCATTAAAAATTAAGTGGTAAATGCAGAAATAACACCTAAGCCTCAGGAATGAGCGGGCTGTTGCCTGAGCATGAATGGTGTTGCTTTTTATGGGGTCAACCCACTCTTCTACCACAGAACTAAGTCTCATAAAAAAGTCATTGCTTCTTGGCATCAAATCAATAGGATATTCCTTACAATAAATGCTTTTAAATATTATCACTAATTTAAACTTGGGGTCATTCTAAAGTCCTCGGTACTGATAGTTTAGTTTTTAATACCAAGTATTAGAAATGAAATTCTGGGCAGATTGCCAAATATTCTCTTGCTTTTTCCTGAAAGTCAAGAAAGTGTGCTCCCTAGAACTTAATCTTGTGGCACTAGCCGTTTGGAAAATATTATCTTATTTCTGCTTTTGATTCATGAGCTGTTCCTAGAAATTGACAAGAAAATGTGGTTAAATTGGATACAAATGTGCATGGCATGCATGTCCACTTCATGGGTAAAGGGAATACATTTCCTAGGTACATTTCACTGGTTCTATTTTGAATGTTTATGGAACTTTTTTCTTTTCCTTTTTTCCAGTTTTCCTTTCGACTGCTTTCCAGAATGTTAAGATTGCCAGAGAAGTGATTGCAGCAAAGGGAAATATTGTTGTACCTAAATTCAGGTAAGATCTTTACTTCAGAATAAATTATTGAGTTCATTAATGAAATCATTTCTTTACATTTCTTTAAGATAATTGCTTTCTTTGCCATTAAGCTATTTGAAGCCTCTTTGTCTGTTTTGGAAAAATAGCAGGTTGTTTTCCTTTGAATATCCTGGCATGGGAAATGTCATAGCACTGATAACATATGTCAAGCTTGGTCATAGTTATATTGTATTTCAGTAGATTTTTTTCACAGCATTCATTTAAACTATATTGACTCAATATGTTTTGTTCAACACGCATAACTTAAAAGAATGAGAAACATGAATTAGTTTCTTAAAGGTCTCCCTTCCGTGGTCCAAGATCAAAGCCTCCTCACTGAGATGAGAACAGAGTAGTGAGCTGCAGGAAGCCGCGGAGTCCTGGAGAAGGGGAGGTGGGCAAGATGCCTTGGGAGGCTCAGCACAGGGGTTTCCTGATGTGCCTTAGAGCACTCGGGAGCTGTCACTGTCTGTTAAACAATGCATGACTTAGTGTGGAATTAGTAAAATGAACCTCATATGCCTTCAGAAATGCTGTGTGGGTCAGCAGAGTGAAAGCAGGCCTCCCTGGCCTTGTCCCTAGACAAGTGTCATGTTAAGAAGTAATCACGCTGTGTTAGAAAGGGCAAAGCTGGAAATGAAGTAACTAATTTATTTTCCTAATATTTCTCATTGTATTTTTGAGTTCTTGCATCCTGAAACTACAAAGACTTGTAGTGTGAGGTTAGTGAAAATCAGAAAAGTCATAGTCCTGATGTTCAAGGAATGCAAATACTGTAAACTGTGTATACATATTGATATGGCAAATGTACTACAGTGTAATATAAAATGGTATAATCCTTGAGTGTATTCCCAAGTTTTACAAAAGTCATGGAATTTTAAGATTGGACTCATCCATATAAATTAGAGGAGAGACCCCGCTAGGTTCTGAGGGCCATTGCCACATTCAGCAAGGATTACAAGTAGATAAAATTTAGAGTCATTCTGCTTACTAAGAATTCTGCTAAACTATATTAGATCCAAAGTTTCCAAATGGTTGTTCATACTAGGTATTTTTTTCATATTTTGGTCTTTCCTTCCAAACAAAGAAAAATGATAGAGATGGCCAATAGATAAAAGAGAGCTAAAGCAGCATTTTCATTGGTATAGGTGTGAGTGATGCAGGACTTGGCTTCCCTTCCACTCCTCTCCTTATTTGGGTCTGAATTCTTACATCAGTCTTCAAAGCTCCAGAGCAGATACACATCATAGTTTCTTTGTACCTTTTGGTTGTTTGGTCCTTCATTTGGAAGTTCATATGAAAGAGCTAAATGAAGGACACAGAGAGCCTATGATATAAGAGAGGCTTATAAAATTACATATTCCTGACCGTAAGTGCAAATTATCATCTTACAATTCCTTGGAATTTTCTGACATCAGGTATTTCTCTCTTGATCTTCACCTCTTCCATGTGGGAAGCCTACTCTATAGAAACTCAAAGGCCATACACTGCAAATTTTGATTAAAGCCTAATAAATAGTATAGAAATTGTCCCTTACCCACAATTTCATGTTCCACATTTGCACTTCCTGTGATTTTAGTTATCTGCAGTCAGCTGAAGCTCAAAAACATTAAGTAGCAACTTTCAGAAATAAACAAGCGGTACGCTTTAAATATCACATTGTTCTGAGCAGCATGTTGAAATCTTACACTGTCTGACATGGTACCAGGTGGGATGTGGGGTATACATTTTCCATAGTATCCATACACTATACACTACCCACCCTTTAGTCACTGAGTGGTTGTTTTGGTTATCAGGTTCACTGGTGCAGTATTAAATTCTTGTCTTAAAGTAACCATTACTTTACCTTCTAATGCACCAAAGCACAGGAGTATGCAGTATCATAACTGTTCTATTTTCTTATTGGTTATTGCTCTACCTAATTTTTAAATGCAACTTCACTCTGTGTGTGTGTGTGTATGTGTGTGTGTAGGAAAAACATAGTGTACATATAGAACTTAGAGTTATGCAACACAGAAATTGGCTGGGTGCCTTGGAACATATTCTTCATTCATAAGAAGGGGCAGCTACATGTGTGATGAAATAGGAAAGGACAGTTATAAGGCGAGAAAAGGACATGCACTTGAGAGTGGCCACTACCCTACTCAAAGCACCTTCTTCAGACAATTGCAAAAAGTATTCACCTTTTGCTATTTATCTCTGGGTGGATTTCAAAAGTTTCTCTATCTTCGTAAGTGTTTATCTTGGCCTTGATGTTTTATTCTGCTCATATTTGTTCACATGTAAAGCTAGACTTTCTCTGCTGCTCCGTGGAAAGCAGCCCCATGACCAAGAGCAGCCTGCATGGCCAGGGTGCCGGCAGCTGTTACAGCCGGACCATCAACTCCCGCCTGGTGTCTACAGCCTCTCTACTTGGCAAGAGAAAATCTCAGGCCTCCAGAGCATTTTCTTATTGCCAGGACAGTATAAATGCTCAAAAGTCCTTGCCGTGTAATGTAAATATTTAATAATTTAAGAATAAATTTTATGCTGTTGCTGCTTTTCTGTGTTTTGGGAATATGTGAAGCGTCTGCCCTTTATTTTCATTGGTCTTTCCATCGTCTCGCTCCTCTTTGTGTTACAGTAACTACCCACAGGCTGCAATTTCTGTCGGTCCATTTGCCACCAGAAGCATCCAGTCTCAGGACTTTCAAGCACATTTGTGGTATTATAGAATTATTGACCTCACTGGTAAAACATCTTTATTTCCCGTTTTACTGATGCTGCTGTTTATAATGAATAAAATAGCACAAAGATCAAATGTAACGAAGTTAGCCTTGAGCGCAAGACTGACTTCACATCCCAGGAAACATCCTTAATCTTTTCTGATTGTGACCTACTGGCTGTGTCGCTAGTGTATTGGCTCGGACCGGAGAAGCTTCCCTTCCTCGGACCGGGAGGCAGATGTAGCTCCTAAATAGGGTGCTAGCAGTAATGAGATTCCTGGAGATTAGAATCAAAGATGCTGATTTGTGTTTATGTTGTTTGCTTTTATTTATTTATCTTTTGTATGAGAGTTTAAAGAAAGTAACTATAATTTCTCTTTATGACCCCATGATTTACTATCATGCTAAAAGGTATAAAATGCAAGGGATCTCAATAAATATTTCAGAAAAATTAATCAGTTGATGAGACTATTTCGGTAGCTACATTCTATGCATTTCAAATACTTGCTTCCATGGTTGAGGAAAGACTGGCTACACTTTTAAATAGGTCCTTTTCATCATTCTCTTTCTATCTCCCACTCAGCAGAAATAGACTTTCTACAAGTCCTTTGTGTTGCTTTCCTCTTGGAGGAGATTAGTCTGCACTGCTTTGGGTTTGGTAATTCCTTCTCTGCCCTTTCGAGAAAAGATTGGTTATGAAAATTTGGATCATTTTGCCCAGCTAAAAACCCCTGGCAACCTGTCAGTCTCAGAATGCATCCATGTACCTTTGTCTATCTGTGAAATATTTAGGTCACCACCAGTGACCTTTGGTAATGAGGGAAAAACAAAGAGTTCTAAGAAATATTCTCATAAATATTCTCATACTGAGTGCCGGTTACTGTACCAAAGCTGCAGAACAGATTAGGAGAATCCTGGCGTAAATCAAGTACAATATTGGAAGCAGATGGTGTTTTCCTGTGAGTGTGGACCAAGTTCGTATGCTTCCTACATCACCCAGCCTTTTGCTTTCCAAACTCGATCTTTAGCCCTGGCTTTCAAGCTGTACTGTTCTTGATGATCCTGCACACCGTCTCTGCGATTATAAAGCCTTAGTGCAGGCATGGTGTCATTTCCTGGGGTCTCTGACTGTCACCCCCTGTCCTGGATTCAAAGGCTGGTCGGCAGCAGAGGAGCCATGGTGATTATAATACAGGAGCAACCCCAGGAGCTAGCGTGCCAGTTCTACCCCTGGAAAACTCAAGAGTCCATGGTTTGCTGAGAAGCCCTGATTACAACTATCAGAAACCCAAGGGTTAGAACTGCCAATCTGTGGGTGTCCCCACTGCATTTTCAAGGGCCTACATAGATATAGGTTCTTGGGTTTAGATAATAATCCCCAAAGACACAATCCTGAATGCTGAAATTCTGAAAGATCAATATTTCTACAGTCTAAAATCCCTAGGTGCTTTTCTTTCTTGTACTACTCTCTTTAAAATAAAATGAAATAAAATAAATAAAATCCAGAAGGATCAAAATCTTGAAAATATAATTCTAGAACAAATAATTTTAAAAATTCTTTAATGAGGATTTGAGATATGTATAAAAACATGAGAGAAAACTTAAAAGGCTACTTTATACAATAAAACAGATAGTACTAACATACATAAAACTCAGGGATAGCAATAATAATTATATGGGTATAATAGTTATAAGCCAACAAATCACATCCATAAAAAAAGATAAAATGTATTTATTTGCCATTTGTATTTCTTCATCCAAGAAGAGCATATTCATCCCAGGTGCCCATTTTTGGATTGAGTCTTTGAATTTTGGGGGCCTGATATTTTCGTTTCTTTATAGGTTCCAGATAGAAGTCATTTGTCTGAGGCACAGTTACCTAAAATATTTACCTATTCTGTAGGTTGTTTCTCCACTGTGTTGGTGATTTCTTTCAATGTACAAGAACTTTTTAATAGGATGAGATCTCAGTAGTTGATTCTTTAAAGTATGTCCCATGCAGTTTGGTTTTTGTTCATGAACTCTTGGCCTACCCCTATGTCTTCAAGATTTCTACCTATTTTCTCTATGACTAGAATCAGTGTCTCTGTTTTAATGTTCAGGTATTTGATCCATTTTGCATTTAGTGCATGGTGATAGACATGGGTCTAGTTTTAGTCTTTGGCATGTGGTAAGCCAGTTTCTCCACCATCATTTATTGAAGAGGCTATCTTCCGACTAGTAAACATGTTTGGCCATTTTCTCAAAAATAAGGTGGCTGAATGTGTTTGTAAT